GATTAAAATAAAATGAATATAATTAATGCACGGAAGTTAAAGAAATACCTATTTTTCTAATATTGTTTATTATTTCGAGAGACCTGTTTATCTTTCTGAATCTTAATATTAAGTAAATACATACTTTTATCAGTTATCGTGCGTTGTGCGCGGTATCGGCCGTAATAATATGGCAACGTTGCTCTCGATATCTCCACGGAAAGCGAAATAAATTCGAAATAAATTCGGAGAGCAGCGCCGCCTATAGGTAAAAAACACTCCGTAAACTTTACGCTTCTATTCATCGTATATTATTCTATGATCAGGTTTACTCAAAATTTACATACTTTATTCGGTTATTTTCCGACAAAATCCTACTAGCTAACTTGACGTTCAGCTCTGAGAATTTACATACCTACATACCATCCATTAGGTTTATATCGGGAAATGGCCAAACATGGAAACTTGGAATAACCTGATCAGGCACAATTCAGCTCACTTCAGATTTAATAAGAATAACGCAGTCCGTTTTTCTTTGATCTGATTTCTAAAATTTGGCATCCACTTAGCCCCCTCTTAGTTTTTTGTCGGAAAATGACCGAATATGGAAATTTCGAGAAAAACCTGGTACAGCACAGTTCAGCACACTTCAGATTGAATGAGAATTCAATTTTGTGCAAACTGATTTTCGAAATTTTGGGCGGGCTTAGCGTCAAGTTAGCCCCCCAGTAGGATTTTGTCGGAAAATGACCGAATATGGAAATTTTCAGAAAAACCTAATACAGCACAGTTCAGCACACTTCAGATTGGATAAGAATTCACTTTGTTTAATCTGATTTCCAAAACTTTGGGGGGCTGAGCGAGCGTCAAGTTAGCCCCCTAGTAGGATTTTGTCGGAAAATGACCAAATATAGAAATTTTGAGAAAAACCTGATACAGCACAGTTCAACACACTTCAGATTGGATAATAAGAATTCAATTTTATTCAAACTGATTTTCGAAATTTTTGGGGGGGCTGAGCGTCAAGTTAGCCCCCCAGTAGGATTTTGTCGGAAAATGACCGAATATGGAAATTTTCAGAAAAACCTGATACAGCACAATTCAGCACACTTCAAATTGGATCAGAATCCTTTTTGGTTTTATCTGATTTCCAAAATTTTGGGGGGGCTGAGTGTCAAGTTACCTCCCCAGTAGGATTTTGTCGGAAAATGACCGAATATGGAAATTTTGGGAAAAGCCTGATACAGCACAGTTCAGCACACTTCAGATTGGAAAAGAATTCAATTTTGTTTAATCTGATTTTCAAAATTTTGGGGGGCTGAGCATTAAATTGGCTCCCCGCTCCCCAGGTATAATTATTTTGTCGGAAAATAACCGAATATGAAAATTTTGAGAAAAACCTGATACAGCACAGTTCAGCACACTTCAGATTGGATAAGAATTCAATTTTGTTTAATCTGATTTCCAAAATTTTGGGGCGGATGAGCGTCAATAAGTTAGCCCTCCGGTAGGATTTTGTCGGAAAATGACCGAATATGGAAATTTTGAGAAAAACCTGATACAATACAGTTCAGCACACTGTAGATTGGATAAGAATTCAATTCTGTTTAATCTGATTTCCAAAATTTTGGGGGTCTGAGCGTCAAGTTAGCCCCCCTGTATGATTTTGTCGGAAAATGACCGAATATGAAAATTTTGAGAAAAACCTGACACAGCACAGTTCAGCACACTGTAGATTGGATAAGAATTCAATTTTTTTTAATCTGATTTCCAAAGTTTTGGGGGGCTGAGCGTCAAGTTAGCCCCTCATCTATTTTTTCCTATAACTTTGTTATCGAAACGGCACAGTTCAAAATATCATCGGCACAGTAGAGCACACTTCGAGCACAGTAAGTGGTTGCAATTTTTTTAGAAAATTCGAATGTGGGGGGGCTAACTTGACGCAGCTGCGTATTGCCCACCTCTTGAACTGCGTCCTACTTCATTTTCTGAACGATTAAAGCTTAACGTAATCGTCACTTAATTTCTTCTGCTCATGGTACCGCTTAGACTTTGTCCTCTGTGAGCGGACCAAAATGGCGGGGCCTAGTAAACGTCAAAAAAATAAAAACTGAAAAAAAACCGAAGGAAATAAGTTATCAAATTTTCCTCTACGGCACAACATGTAGCAAAATAATAGCACAATACAGCACTATTTCTTTTGCATCAAAATTCCAAAATGGCAGGGCTAAGTTATTGGATATAGGTTCTTCTCTAATTAATTTTCACGTCCTTTCAGGTTTAAATAAATTTTAGAATACTGTTATTAGGGTTTACGGTTTCTTGGTTTATCTAGCGCATATTTTTCTATGTAGACTAGAATATGATTGTATAATGTGTACAGTTATAGGGTGGACAGGGTGTACGTACAGGGTGTTTCAAATATATCTCTGCTAGTATTCAGAATATCTTAAATATGAAAGCGGTATTTTGTAAACTAGCAAATTATGCAATTTTCCGAGATCCTAATCACAGCTTTCCTAATGCTGTGGCTCGAATTTGAAACACCCTGTACACATTAAATTAAATTTATAAAAACTTGCTGCATCATCAGCAGTTTTAGCAGTTCAGTAGGTCAAGTTATAATCAAGCGGCACGTAATGTTTCCGTTATCTCAATATAGAAGACCGATGCAATCACGGCCATCGGCATCCGTTGGGATCATTCACTCCTGGGTCCTTATTCTTGAAACAGGGACGCAGTGTTCTTAGGGAACGAGTATTTCGTCTTTGTTACTTATATTATCATTTGCAATTGAGAAAGACGGAACACTCGTTCATCTGGGAACGCTGCTCCCCTGTTTCAAGATAAGGACCCTGGAGCAATACAATACCAGCGCCGGTCTGGAGCCTAGCGGTACTTTCGCGGATCGTTTCGGCCCTCATACGCACCTGCGGTGAAACCCTACGATCCATGTCATGTATAGCGCTTTTTATTGTCCGTTTCGTAAGGCCAATGCCAAAAATAAAGATCATATTATGTACCTACCTAGTACCTATCTAGTAGAGCCAAATATACGTTTAGCTAGCATATTTTATAAATATGTGGTGTGTTTGCATGGATCAACCCCTATCCTCCAAGCAAAGCGTCTCATAGGCATAGTAGGCACCCTACCTGTGTGACAATATATCGAAGTTACCTTTAATATTGATCTTATTCGATTTAAAGATAAAAAAAGTTGTTGCTGGAACAAATAATTGGTTATAATTTTTAGTTAAACCTATTTTAATGCCTTTTTATTATACTCAAATAAAACTAATAAAGATATAAATAAAATATACAAAGATACTCGGTTGATTGATGCTATTTATATCACGTGGTGGTAGAGGCCATGGACTTTGAGACTGGGAAATTGAGAAAAAGTTCGCGAGTGTAGCCGGCTTTAGATGCGGATTCTCGTGGATTCTCTATTGAACCGCCGCGGCGGTGCAGCAGCACTGTTGCCAACTCTATTACAATCATAATAGATCTATTACAATCAAGTAATTTTTATTACGCTATTACCAAAGGAAAAAATATATTACTTTTTCGGGAAAATTATGTTTTGGTGAATAAGCAATTGAAAAATTTTACAGGCATCATAAATTATCACATCAAACCACACAGAACACTTTAAAAAAACATCTTTTGTCAATGTTGTGTCCTTTGTGCGTGAAAACTGAAAACCCCTGAATGAAAATGCTTCACTTTCAGTTTCATAATAGGTTTATTCGGACTTAGTTCAGAATCAGTTCTGAATAGACCGATCTCCTATTACCTGGACTGCGCGCGTCGCTTGTAGGCTGCAGGTGAGCGTCCAATGAGAAGCAAGTTTGTTACAGGCATGCTTCATATTCTTATTCAGGTGCCAGTTCAGATTAAATCGTTCCTTCTTTCTTTGTAACGTGTAATTCGACAAAGAGCGAACTAATACTTTACATATTAATTGAACTCACCGCAGTGTCGTTTAAGATTATGTCAGATTATACTTGTCATATTCCTTTGCACTTTCATTGTGCGATGTCGCCGGATGAAACATTTATCAAAATAAAAGTGCAAACGATGTTAACATACACTTTTTAAGCTCTTCTTTTGTCTGATTAAGGCATTGTAGAACACTTGACACTATATCACTTCTTTAATGTTATAATGTTCGATTTGTATTGTCTACATTTGTTCTGCAACAATACAATTTGGCGCGCATGTCATCTTTTATTACTTTCTAACTTGTATTTATTACAATTAAGCTATCTTTTTCTATTTATGCGAGACAGGTCAATTGAGCTGCGCATGCGCATTTGCTTATTTATGTTCGGTATGAACAAATGCGTGAGCGCAGTTCAATGTTCAATTCAGAACTGATTCTGAACTAAGTGATTCTATGACTAAAGAAATTCAGGGATGTGCGTCTACACGTAGACTTTCATTGTCTACTTTACGTGTAGATAATGTAGACAATGTAGACAATGTAGACAACGTGTCAACAATGTAAAATAATATAAATGACGTTTAATTCCAACCTCACACTTTCCTTTTTTTAAATTATTTTTATTTTATTATTGGTTTTTCTGATATTTTATAATCAGTGAATGCTAATATCGAAGTGATAGTGATATTGTAGTAACTTTTGATATTTTTTTTCGAATTTTTTATAATAAAATATTGTTTACGCCGCATGTAGACAATGTGTAGACAAATGCTCACGTAAACAATTCGAATGACAATCAATTGTTTACGTTGACATTGTCTACAGGCACATCACTGTAAAGAATAAATAATCCTATACCTATATCTAATTTATGACAACAAAAACTAACACAAATGAGTAAATTGAGCATAAAAACACAGCATAAAAGTAAATACGGCGCATAATGGTGGAGCGCCTATTCAATATTTTGGTTATCTCTCATGCATAACTGACAGAAGTGGCAGATCTATTACCAAAAAGTCAAATCTATTACAATTTTGGCTTCAATCTATTACATTTAATTTTCGTGAGGTGGCAACGCTGTGCAGCAGAGATTCTTCCTTATGTTTGTTGTTTGTTTTTCTAGTAGGTCGACTTTTATAAACTGTGCTTTTATTTTATATACAATATACAACTTGCTAGATAGTAAACAAATTTTTTAATTTTACTTGTTTGAAAATGTGTCAGATAACAAAAGGTTAGTTGTTTTAGTCTTGATGTATCTCTGGCAACTGCACCTCTCTTCTCTTTTAGATGTTAGTAAAGTCTGGGACAGGATTTTCAAACAAAGTGGTTTTATAAATGGGGAAATAAATTTTACTTTAAAAGAATTTGAGGTAAGTACGTGGGTTTACAGACACATAACATATTATGATGAGATAAGTATTATAAAAAGTCCACTATTTTTATTTATCTATCTGCTACCATATATGGTATATACCTAAACAACTAATGAAATGTGTTGTCAGTTTATAAAAAACTTACTTATAACTACTTACTTCCAGTAAATACAATAATATAAGGACATTTCACAGTGTAAGTATAGTCCAACAAATACCTTTTAAAGTCACGTGATTTTTCTCTATCCTTGTTGAATACATCTCAAACAGCGGTGATAGAAAAATTGACAAAAAAATTGCTGTCTAATTATTGTTCATAATATTCTTACCTGAAATAGAATCCGTCACTGCCATCAATTAGTTTGTCAAAGTTATTTTCGAAAGTAATACAACGAACAAACACAGCTAATAATTTTGACTATATTAACCTTTTTCCAACTCGAAAAGAAGCAAATAGAAAACGGGTACTCAGTTTAAGTTCAGAATGTATTACAACAGACAGCAGATGCAACAAAAGTGAGTCTCGCAACAATTGCAAGTATTAAAATTGCCCTCTGATTGGTCAATACTACTTCAGAAACGCGTTTGTAAAATGCTAGTGGGAACATTTATTAAAATTCAATAGTAATTAACCACCAGTAGCTTTTTGTAGGTGATATCAACGACATAATCAATGGACATACGTTTTTTGCCACCAGTATCACGTGACTTTAAAATGGTATTTGTCGGACTATAGGTACCTACCATATTATAATAAACATTGACAATGATAATAAATAGAAAAACTCATAAAAAGCAAACATACACAAATTACAAGAATATGCTATTACGAGAGAAAGAAAAATAATAAGTGTTAGACATTAGTTTACCATTATGATAAATACTATGCAAGTACCTAATTTCTGTAGGTACCAACAAGAATACAATCCAAGGACCCAAATTGAATCAAAATAAGATCCCAGTTTGTGCTACTTGGCCTTTCACACACATGTCCCCATAAACACAAAATGGAGTGCCTATTCGTACTCACTGTGTACTAATAGCTGCAGTCAGTGGCGTAACTACAGGGGGGGCTGCCCCCCCCCCCGCCCGACGTCGCTAGGCCCCCCCCCCAGAAAAAACTTTAATAATTTGGTATTTTATGAAAGCTACGTTACCTATTATAATTGTATGTTATTATCTACTAAATTTGAACGGGCTGTGTGCAATTGTGCCACCCAAAGGTCAGTGCAAATTGCAATGTGCAGAAGTGATACAGTATACCAAAGCCATTAAATTAGCATTAGCAATATAAAAGATTAGTTTGGGAGTTTGACAAAATATTTTTCCTGTGAATCCGTGAATCCGGGGTTGCTGATATTGATATACAGGGTGTTTAAAAAAGACACGGCAATATTTGAGGGGGTGATTCCTCAGGTCATTTTATGGAAAAAAGTTCCCATAAACATAGGTCCGGAAATGCATTTTTTGCAAGATACAGGGTGGTAAAGATTAGACCTAAGAGCTCAAATCATTGGTGGGTGTAACTCAATTAGAAATGACCCTGGTATTTTTGAGAGAGTTCACCAGTCAATGAGGAGAAGATTGAATTCCTGCATCCACGCCGGGGGTGGTCACTTTGAACAGTTTTTGTAATGTTTTTGTATCATAATGGACAAGCAAGAAAATAGTTTTCATTTTTTATTTTGTAAACGAAGCAAGATACGAGAAAAATTTAAGAGACAATAAAGTTGCAGTTTAAGTTGATTTATCTGAAAGAAAAATCGAAATTAAATTAAAGTCAGTGGCGTACATTTTTTCGTCAATAAATTTTATTAAATTGCCCCCCCTAACGCCACTGGAGTTAAAAAAAATTATCTAGTTAGGGCAAAACTAGCCCCTAATTACTAAAAACAACGCTGCCAATTTTCAAAAAAATCGGTGAGAAGATATTTGAATTATTTAAAAAAAAACGTTATTTTAAAAAAAACACCCTGTATCTTGGAAAAAATGCATTTCCGGACCTATGTTTATGGGAACTTTTTTCCATAAAATGACCTGAGGAATCACTCCCTCAAATATTGCCGCGTCTTTTTTAAACACCCTGTATACTTTACAGTGGCTGATAAGCTGGGATAGCTAGGCAGTGTTGCCAACTCGGTAGAATATCCACTAGTTCTAGTGGATTTAAAAGTCGTCTAGTGGAATGGTTTTAGCAAATTCCACTATAGTGGTAATTTCAATGGGAATGGGAATGAGATCCACGGTTTCTAGTGGATTTTTAGCTCGATAATTTTCAGTGATATTTCGCTTCCATTAGTTTGCAATACTTGTTTTTAAAATTTCGAAATAACGTATTTCTATAGGATTCCTGTTAATTTACAGAAGGCAGCATATTTTTCAAGGATGATACAAACCTACAGGATTGCTTATCGGCATCGTTTTTGGTAATCGCCGCCATATTGGTGTGTCACCAATTCCGACGTCATAATTAAGTCGTCAGCTGTTTAAACAGCCTTCGTCAAGATGAGAAATAACCTGCTGCCTACATCAAAACTGGTGATTTGGCGAGGGAGGGATTTGTTACATAACACACAGACCTTATGAGGATAGGTCAGCCTGTAGTAGTAGTGTCGTAGTGCGTATCATCCTTGACATATTTTTTTTGTGGGCTTTTCATATTGTAGGTATGTCAATATTGTCAATGATGCTTTCAGTTCAACTGTCAACATTGTCACTTTCAAAATTCAAGTCAAGTAAACCCGGCGTTCATGCTTCTATAAACATACTGCTGTAACATAATCTATAAGGGCCAGTTTCTCAATAGCAGGTCACCCCCAGGTTAAGGGTAACTCCAGGGTAAACATAGCAACTGGACACGCTCACCCTGGAGTTAAAATTAAACCGGAGGTTACTTGCTATTGAGAAACCGGCCCTATTAAGAAGAAACAAAGAGAAGAAACTAACACAACATGGTAGATGATACAAAAATTTCAAAAAAGAGTGGGAAAAATTTAGTAGATTTTCCACTGGTTTAAAAAAAATTCGCCTGCGGCGCCATTTTTTTTTTCTCCTAGTGGATTTTAGTGGATTTAAATCTCTTTTCTAGTGGACAGTCTTGATTCAGAGTTGGCAACACTGTAGCTAGGTAAGTGATTTAAGCCCGGTTTATTCAGCTAATCGCCTATAATTGCACTGTTCTACTTTTTTAAAGATTCCAATAAGTCGCAATAACAGGCCCTAGGCCACTGGCCCCAACTACAAGGCGGCATTGGGCAGGTGTTCCCATGAGTAACCTCTCATGGGTGCTCGGAGCTCTCGTAGGGAATGCGAAAGTACAAACGTATTTAATGATCATTCCGTTCCGTGTGGTAGTATCAGTATCACGTATGTAATTTAAATTTACACAACTTTGTATAAGAATTATACAAGTCGTATTAGTCTTAGATAAAGGAGGTATTAGTATTCTGTCCTTTCGTTATTTGTGGTCAATTCTATGCTCTATTACTTTATAATGCTAATGTTGCTATTCTCCATCTCTATTCTTTGATAATAATCGGGACATAAGGCATTTTAGGACATAAAAGGACCAGGCATAATTATTTTGATGATGTGATATTTTCATGGCCTAAAATGCGTGCAGAAAAAAGCAGTTTTCGCACGCTCGTAGAAAAAAAATAGAAAAATATATACACTATAAAATAGACGTTTTAAGTAGGGCTTGGAATTTTTAAAATCCAAGTATTCGAATAGTCGTTTGGTATTTTATTCGAATAGTTGAATAATTCGAATAGTCGAATACCTATTCGAATAGTCGAATAGTCGAATATTCGACTATTCGAATAGTCGAATAGTCGAATATTCGAATATTCGAATAGTCGAATAGTCGAATATTCGAATAGTCGAATAGTCGAATATTCGAATAGTCGGATATTCGAATATGTAGTCAAAAAGTCGAATATTCGGATAGTCTAATATTCCAATGGTCAAATATTCTGATAATCATTTATATTAGTTAGTTCGTACTTCGTCGTACTGTTAGTACTAGATTCTACTTTCCGCAAAAGAACGATCTACGACGAAGCGAATTTTTGATTTTTTATGCAGAGTATTGCAGAGTCAGAAAAACTAAAATAATTTAGATGTTTTTTAAATGGCAAATTTACAGAGGGTTAAATTTACATTACGAACAAAAATGTATTGTATTCATTGAAAGCTGATTTTCACCGAAAACACGTCGAATATTGTATCATTCAAATTCAAATAATGAAACAATTGAAATTTTAAATTGAATATATATCTACTCAAATCAAAAAGTGAGTAATTGCATTGGTAAATAGTCCAATATTCAAATAATTCGAATATTCGAATATTCAAATAGTCGAATATTCGAATAGTCGGATATTCGAATATTCGAATAGTCGAATAGTCGGATATTCGAATATTCAAATAATCGAATAGTCGAATAGTGGAATATTCGAATAGTCGAATTTGCTAACTAACAAAAAAGTCGAATTTAGAATAGTCGAATAGTCGAATATTCGAATTATTCGAATACAATTCCGAGCCCTAGTTTTAAGGCGTGGCATCCGGAAAAAATTTTTCGCTTCCGCCGGCGCCTACGGCGAGCTTCCCTCTCCCCCTATAAACAAATGTATAAAAATATTATCCTGCGCCTATGAGGACTTTCAAAAATCGGCGTCTCTGCCAGGCCCACCCTAGGCCCCACCCCAGGTCAGATGGCTAGTTACGCCAGTGGCTGCAGTGCTATTCACAGTGTTGGTACTTTAGACGAAAAGAGCAAATCCAAACTAACCTGTCCTCGTAATGAATGCTAGTGTTTGTATGTTGGTATTTTAGATGAAAAGAGCTATTCCAAACTCATCCTAGTAATGAATGCTAGTCTTTGCATGTTGGTATTTTGAAAGAAAGTAACTAATCCAAACTAACCTGTCCGTCCTATTAATAATCTTTAAAATAATTAAGAATCCAAAAAAAAAACCTAAAAAAAAATGTATTGTCTCCAACGAGAATCGAACACGGGTCGATTTGCTCCAAAAATCGAAGTAATAAACTGAAACTCAAACTCAAAATCTTTATTTTAATAATTCCATAGTTCTACATTTCCAGGTAGGAGGGTTAGGCCCCCCTTACTAAACTAAAAACATACAACATACTTAAATCTAGGACATAGAACTTAACCTAAAACTCAGTGGGACGCAGCCCACTGTGCGCACAGACACGCCTAGCGTGCTGTTTGCGCTGTTTCACGCTGGTCGATGTTATGACTACCAAGCCCCTTAGCCTATCCTTGCTTATGTAACTCAACTCGGCGTTACCAGGTTGCCCTTACACGCCGTTTTTCTGACCCTGGGGTCGTTGACAAATATCATGAATGATAAGCATTGGGCCATTACAATGGCCTGCTCAGAGGTATTGGGTGATGTTCAGAGTAGGGGGTTGTAGAGCGCCAGCGCCCTTCTGCGAGGAAAAAGTGTAAAAAACCTCGCTTTTAATTAATTATCTGTTAACCTAAAAAACTAAAAAATTTCGTGCCTTGTCGGCGGTGGGGCTGTATAAAAACCAATCAAAATAATTTCAATGAAAGAAGAGGGAAAAAAGAGACATACACACTCAATATTCCTAGGAACACGTCAGAACAAAGTTGTAAACTTATCAAAGTTATTAGCTATAAAAGACATACATCTTTGGTTAAGAGCGCTTTGTTGACTTTCAAGAAAGTATGGTGACATCATGTCTCAATTGCTCGGATTGTGGTTCTCTGTCCTGAGCTGCTAGAGAAGCTTCTTGCAGATTATGGTCAATAATTTCTTTTGTATGATCCACCCAGCGCGTCGGAGACCTTCCTTTTGGTCGTTCACCATTTATTTCTCCTTCGACGATAAGTTTTTCTTGAAGTGACTTTTAGCTGCTCAAGAATTGATATGTTAGTACGATGTTCTGTGAATGAAATTCGAAGCATTCTTCTGTAGGCCCACATTTCGAAAGCCTCGTCGAAAGCATCTTTTTTTTTCAGTTGCCAGTTTTTAACATCCAGGTCTCAGAGGCATATGTGGAAATGGGAAAGATCAAGGTGCTCAGTAGTTTTAGCTTGTTGTTTGGGGATATTGCAGTGTCTTTCCCAAGGTCTTTCCATATGAGAGTTAGTTTTGTTGTCGAATTACGTGCTACTGACAGTCTGCGTTTCATTTCTTCATCACATCCTCCTTTGTTAGTTATGAGTGATCCCAATTAATAAAAATTTTCAACCACTTCAACGCCATCAATCTGTTTGATATTAGTAGGATTGCGATCTTCTATCATAATTTGCGTCTTGTTTTTGTTCAATATGACACCATGTTCTCTGCTGATCCGTTCCAACTTTCTCATTATTTCGATGTGTTCTTTTTCTGAGCATGCTAGAATTATTAAGGTGTCGTTAGCCATTGGTGAAACGTTGAATATTTTTACACCAAGAAAATAGCCTGGGAATATCCACAGGCATTACCTTTGGGCCCACACCAAAACAAGATGAAGCCAGGGTTACTGTTTTGTACCTAACGAACAATAAATTGTTATTCAAGCATTTTTATGTATAACTAGCTGACCCGGCGAACTTCGTACCTCCTCTGAATTATTAAATACCTATTAAATGTTGTGTTAACGTATCTATTAACTGAATTAAATTCAGTTTTTTTCGATGGTGAATTTGGCTTTGGTCGAAGAAAATTAATTTTTACTCTCTGGATCAGAAGTCACCTAAAATTAAAATTTTACATCATCCCTTTTTAGGCATCTTGTGGGCATTATTCTTATAAAGTGTACCACCAAATAAATAAACTCAGGCACAGGAATGTTCAAAAAATGTAAAGAAAACAAAAAAAATATCCAGCGCAGCCCTGTTTCATTTTATCTGCACTGCATGCACTGCAATACTCCATCTGTTCTACTGTATCTGAACTATTCTATCTGATCTCTTTCTGCACCACTTTATCTGATCGGAATAGTGGAATAGTTCTGTTCAGAATAGCTCCAGTTCCTTAGCAGTATTCTGTTCTACTGTATCTGCAATGAAATTACCGCGCAACGGCGAGCTTCGTTCTAGGTACCTATCATATATGGCGCCGTATACAAAATGGTTGTGGCGGCCTCATAACCTGGCTCTCTGCCACTCGACACCAGCCGGACGGAGCACTCCGAACAGTCGGCACGGAACACGGCTGTCAAGGAATGCCTACGAGGAGAAACGGAACTTAGCCACAGAACGTCAATGGTCAAGCGTCAAGAAATGACAGGTAGACCAGTTCGCGTTCGCGCTCTTTCGGAATGAACGAACCAACAACAAAATAAAATACACAATTAAAACATTGTCATTCTATTTATTTTTGGACATTTTTACTGTGAAGAACAATTAAAAATAAAGTGCTTTCCTCAAATTGTTTTTGTGCAAAGTGTGTGACAATAAAATCCACATGGTTTGCAATGAAAATGTGACGGTAAACTTGGTATCGGTTATAAGAGATGGCGCCGTATGCGGGCTTAGTGAGTTTTTTTCATAAATAAGTAAAATAGATAAAAAAAAAATTTGTTTTTTTTTTTTTTGGGTTTTTTCGATTTATTATCCTAGGATGGACAAAGACAAATCCAATAAAGCAAAAATCATAATAATCAGTCCAGCCGTTCTCGAGTTATAAGTGCTCAAATACCAACACAACTGTGTTTTATATTATAGATAGATTCATGAGTTCCTCTCTTTTTTTTTTAACAAAGTTTTCTTGCTTGAGAGGGGACATGACTTTGGAATTCTATTTTCTTTAAACGTTCCTGTACCTTGAAAGCCCTGATATCTCAAATATTTCAATAAAGATATTCCGGTAAACAAATTATCAAAATATACTTCATATAGTCTAAGATTTAAATTTGTTGCACTATTTGGGATTTTTAAATTTCGGTTTTAACATGTTTGTTTTCATATAAACTACCCAACACTATTATAGCATATCCGGGAGCATATTTTAGCAAGGATTCCACAAGTGCCTTGTAAACACAGATTAGAAGATGTTAATTTAATATTTCCCTAACCATATAAAAATCACAAATTAGGTTTTTATTATTGTTTCTAATTCAAAAGTTTATCCTTACTCATCTAACAAATTACTACATTTACCATAACCCTTCTTAGTATATTTGGTTAAAATTAAGGACTTTCTATATTCTTTTAGACTAAAAGAAGCGACAGTGAAGTAGATAACTTATTCAAGTCAATAGAAAATATTACAGATATTAAAGATACACAAATAAATTCATTAAGCGAAATTGTTAATGAGAAAGTTGTAGATACTAATCAATATTTAAATGAAGCTTTAAAACTATGTAGGGAATTTGGAGATTTGGAAAAAACATTTTTACAGGTAGGTCAATCACGTTTCATTCATAATAATAAAATAAGAATAAATTATGTTTTTAGCAAACTGTCAGTGGAGGGAACAATGATAGAAGAAAGGACCTTTGGGAAAAAATAATGGATGAAATAACCTCAGAGTTTTCTAAAGTTAATTCTGATTTTGAAAGAAAAGAAATTGAAGCAGTGCAATATTACAAAGAATTGGGGAAGAAATTAAAATAAATTTGTGGATTGTAATGATAATAATTTATTCATCAAATAAACTCGAGTTTAAATAAATAATGTATTTGAAAAAAGAAATTTTTAGATAATTGAGTGAGGATACAATTAGACCCTGAGATAGGGCCTATTTAGTGGAGTCATTTTTTTTGTCTGGCATTTTGAGGGATGAATGTGGCTAGTTAGCTGATGAGAATATAAGTGGTTTTAATGCCTGCCCCCTGTTCGAAATGTCCACAGAATGTTTCACCGGAAAACTCGATTTCGAACTGTGCTTGCCAGACAAAAAGTAAACGCGGAAGGTTCTTTTCTTTTCTCTTGGAAGTTGACACCCATCCCCATTTTTTCAGCTATTGGAAAGCATCTGATATTTTTCATGGGTGAATTATAATGAATATGATAATAACTTAACTAATAGAAATAAAAAAAAAAAACATTTAAAGGCAACTTGCATAATCTTCATTCACAAAAAAGGAAACATTGTATAAAGCAGAACCATAGCCTGCAGAACTAAATAATGTCTTGATTTAAAATATAGGTATAACTTAAATTCTTTTGAAATTATTTAAAGGAGGTGTGCGCCAAAAAAACAACTTCATCTCAAAAAAAAGATAAAAAAAATCTAAGAATAACAGTGAAAACCGTACCTCTCTATGACAAATAATACCGAAGATATAGCTCTATGAAGGTACCGCATCTCACCCTATGACGTCACGAAAGCTCAAGCGACGCACGAGAAAGTGAAGTAAATTGAATTTAGATATGTTTTTCCTGTGTCACCTGCAATAATCTAAACAAAAACCTTTCACGCGTGCAGGGAACAATCAAATTAATAATGCGGAGCGCGGCTGGACGAAGCTCTCGTGACGTCACACACACTTTAAAGCGGTATATCTCAGCGATGGTTTATCGTAGAATAACGAGGTTTGAACAGTTATTGTTAGATTTTTTTACACTAAAACTTTAATTTTTGGCGCACACCCCCTTTAAATACAACTCGACATTGCTGGAGCAGCACGACGAAGAAGAAGAAGAGGAATGGTACGAAGACTATGTAGAAGTTCTAAGAGACATTACGAATTTGTCTTTTAGTCCAAGCAATAAAGGAAGTTTACCTCAACATAATTAGAAGTTAACATTTTTTGGGGGGGATCGGTTCATTTTCATGTGCTTAATAACATATTAAGTTTGCGACTTTGTACTTCCATAGGGTTTTCAGTTAGGGGTGGTTTTTAGGGTTAATTTGCAGTTTATGGAGAACGCTGCTCAAAAGGATGGTCCAATAGCAAAAAGTTTCAAATTAATATTGTAGCTGAAGCTTTTTGCTATAAAAAACTCAGCGACAGCACCCCTCTATCTTCTATAGTTTTTTTTCTGCAGCGTCTTGAATAGCAGCATGTTTTTGTTCAAGGTCACTGAATCAACGTTTTGCCATTTTGCGCGCATTTGTTGCAGCAGCGGCCGAATGCATAATCCGATTTCAATTTTTCAAACACCACATTATTTCTAATGAAATGCACTCTCCAATGCTTTTTTGTTCGAATGTTTTGCTTGAAAATTAAGCGAGCACGGACTTGTCTAATGTGCGAGGAAGTTGTAAATTGCATCGAAAACTACCCCTTTCTTGCATTCACTCTAATTTCTAAACGGGGCCAAATATTTGGTGACAGTTTTCGACAATCGGCAGCCAATTTATACCTCTCATAATGCCCCAGCGGATTTTTTTTTTCGTTAATCACTTAATGACTTATTGGCCTGAAAACGTCGCGCGCGATTTTTCCAAAAGTAAAAAAAAATTAAAATTGTCGCATAGCGCTGAAATTTGGTACGATGGCTTTATTTATTGTTCTCATGATTATACTGCAATTTTATGTCATGTGAAGCAATTAAAATTGCAGTATATTCGTAAGAACAATAAATAAGGCCATCGTACCAAATTTCTGCGCTATGCGACAATTTTAATTATTTTTTACTTTTTGAAAAATCCCGCGCGACGTTTTCAGGCCAATAAGTCATTAAGTGATTAACGAAAAAAAAAATCCGCTGGGGCATTATGAGAGGAATAAATGGGTTGCCGATTGTCGAAAACTGTCACCAAATATTTGGCCCCGTTTAGAAATTAGAGTGAATGCAAGAAAGGGGTAGTTTTCGATGCAATTTACAACTTCCTCGCACATTAGACAAGTCCGTGCTCGCTTAATTTTCAAGCAAAAAATTCGAACAAAAAAGCATTGGAGAGTGCATTTCATTAGAAATAATGTGGTGTTTGAAAAATTGAAATCGGATTATGCATTCAGCCGCTGCTGCAACAAATGCGCGTAAAATGGCAAAACGTTGATTCAGTGACCTTGAACAAAAACATGCTACTATTCAAGAAGCTGCAGAAAAAAAACTATAGAAGATAGAGGGGTGCTGTCGCTGAGTTTTTTATAGCAAAAAACTTCAGCTACAACATTCATTTGAAACTTTTTACTATTGAACCATCCCTTTGAGCAGCGTTCTCCATAAACCGCAAATTACCCCTAAAAACCACCCCTAACTGAAAACCCTATGGAAGTACAAGGTCGCAAACTTAATATGTTGTTTAGCATATTAAAATGAACCGATCCCCCCAAAAAAATTTCAACTTCTAATTATGTTGAGGTAACCCCTCTTTTCAGATCTCCGTTTCTTGGACTATTTATTTAACGAGCTGCTTTTGTTCTGTTAAGCATTTCGACGATCGTTATGTGCATTTGGTTTGTGGTGAAAACCAAGCCTCGTTTGGTCTATTTTTGATCGGTCCCACCAACATCCAACATCATAGGAATGATAATATTTGGTATAATTGGTGATAAATTGAACGTTATAAAAATATATTCGATAAGCTCATGTGGCTTTACTTGCGCTGCCATGATGTTCTTTACCTACCAATACCCAATGCTGTTAACTTCTTCTGGCCTGTTTGATTGTCTTTTGCCAGCGTTAACGCACTGATGTCTCCGATATTGGCGGATTTGTTGCCGCTTGACAACTTCACAATGGTTTACGGACTGAGCTTGTTTTGTCAGGAGATCGGGAATTTGGCTGGACCACCTAAAGCGAGTGAGAATTTTCTCTTTCAGTGTGCTGTAGCAAGAATATCTTTTTCAGGATTACCCTTTGACATCACGCACTCTTATGAACAATCCTTTTACCATGCTGGTTTTTGGATGATTGCGTCCAGGCCTTATATCATATACGAAAAATAGGAAAATTATTGGAAACGGTGCCAGTGAACCGAGGGGTAAGTCACCTTGGTATTTTATTATACAAGCACTTGGTAATTATTGGTATTTATAGGTATTTTTGGTATTTTTTTTTTACAACTATGGTAATTATGGTATTTTTTGTAGTACTTCTGGTAATACTTGGTAATTATGGTAATTTTTTTGGTAATATTTGGTATTTAATAGGTATTTAATTGGTATTTATCATGGCCGGAACACAATGCGCATGCGCGGCAACATATAGCGCCATTTATTTTATTACCCAGAAGGCTTTTGTCTCGGGATTTCTGTTGAATAATTTATTGAAGGATTATTGGAAAATAAGAAAAATATAAGTAATATAATTATTTTATTATTAAAACATTATCTACAAATAATATTTTATCTATTCTGTATTCAGTTCACATGCCAGGTAAAATCCTAAGGGCCGGCTCTGACTGAAAAGGTTGGAAATTTATGAGCTTTTATGGTGAGGTGGTTGATTTATTGCAGCAGGAGTCTACGATATAACTTGAACATTACCACAGCATATACTATAACAATCAGCAGGCTAACTCTCACGCGCATCTTTTCTGCGCACACCGCCATTAGGGAATACTATGCTGTCATTGAACGGCAGGGACGCCGAAATTTTATTTTACTTGTTTATCTCTGGTGGCGGTCATAGACGTGCGGTGTACAGCGGAATTTAAGCTGTAATTTTAGCACAGCATACAATTTTAGATGCTATGATTTTAGTGTATTCTTAGTGTTGTCATTTATGCTGTCATCATTCTTGTCAATTTAATAATGATAATAATTTTTTTTTTTTTTTTTTTTTTTTTTTTTTTTTATGCGCACTCGCAAGGAAATGTCCTATCACGCTCGGGAAGCGGCAAGTGCGCGGAAATGTCGGTGTATGTGGATCTTGAAACGGTTCAGGTTGTAACCTGCAGGAAAAACCGTCGCAGGGAGTTTATTCCACAGCGATGCTGTTCTCCAGAGATATGAATTCTGATATAATGAGGTTCTTGGTGCCTCTAGTTTGACAGTAAATTCATGGTTACCGTCTGTTTGACGGGTCGCCTGGTAGGCGCTACTCTCGGTGGAATCATACGTGCCAACTCTTCAGAGCATTTTCCGTGATAGTACCTGTAGAAGAGAGATAAATTGCCCACAGATCTGCGATGTTCGAGACCATCCAAGTTACGAGTAAGTGCGGGGTCATTGATCAGCTTAATAGCTCGTTTTTGCACGGTGTTCAAAAGCATTAAGGTATGTTTGGGTACTGCACTCCATATATGTGAGCAGTACTCCATAGTTGGTCGAATCTGGGCTTTGTAGAGTGTCAGCAATTGGCTTGGTGTGTACAGATATCTTGTACGAAATAGCACCCCCAGCTTTTGGGACGCCCTTTTAGCAATATCTGCCACGTGATTGTGCCAAGACATGTTGGTCTCTGCAGTAACCCCCAAGAAGTTCAACTGACTCTGTAATGTGACAGCACTTCCAGATAGCATGATGTTTGGCTCACCGGTGCTGTTCTTTTTTGAAAACAGAGCTGCTTGGGTTTTCTGTGCGTTGAACTGTACAAGGTTTTTGTTACGCCAGTCCTCTATTATCTCCAGGTCGTTATTTATCTGCGATATTTGAGTTAGTCTAAGATGATGGAATTCACGTGCGGAAAGACCTGTGGGTGGTATGAGTGAGGAAACTACATTGCCATCGTCTGCAAAGCAATAAAGTGGATTTACTGTTTTATCTATGAGGTCATTTATGTAAATCAGAAAAAGAGTTGGCGAAAGGATTGCTCCCTGTGGCACACCAGCATT